AATAATAGAATAGTTGAAGCTGCAATTTTAAAATCACCACTCTGTTTTTTTCTAATATATGTTGAAGTACTTCTATTTTATACAAAAATGAATCACTAAGGAATAAATAATTAATCACTAAAATATTTTCAGCTGAAATGATGAATGAAGACTGTTCAGACTTGAAAGGGTGGGGGTGCTGCTGTTGCCAACATGTTATAGATGTATGGGATGCACTTCTGTTCTCCCATGAATGACACCATTCTCAACAAGAAAATCTGTTAAACCAGATTAGCTGAGTGGTAAATAAGCTAAGTCTAAAAGATGCACTAATCCCTTTCTTTTCTGTTGAAAAATACTTGTCAAATGTAGTACTTCTCCAGCAAAAGGAAATAAATTTGCTTTGGAAAATACACACACACACACACACAAAACTCCTCATACATGACCTTTAAACATAGTGATAGTGGCCTAAGTGTGAATTCCATTTGGAAGCAGCACTTAAAATATTGTTTTAAAGGGCTTTTACATGAGCAGTATATTCTTTGAAAAGAGATTTTGGACCATCTAACTTAGACAGTGATGTTCATTTTATGTTGGTAAAAATATACTGAATTTGAAATTCCAAACAAAAACTTTCAGGAGACAAATGCAATTGTATGTGCTTTCAGCCCTGCAACGTCATTTCTAAAAGTTAATATTTAATTGTTTAAACTGCTGCTTTTTCTCATGTAGAATGCAAATGAAGAGCAGAACACAGTAGACACATGTGAGGTGAGGTGGGAACCACAGCTATAAAGCAGAGAAGGGAATATAGAAGACAACTGGTTAGCTGAATAATGACCCCCAAAAGATGTCTGTACCCTAACCCCTGGAACCTTTGAATGTTACCTGATGTGGCAAAAGGGGCTTAGCTGATGTGGTTAAATTAAAAATGCTGAGATGGGGAGACTACCCTGGGTTTTTTGTGTAGTTCCAGTGTAATCACAAGGACCCATAAGGAGGTAGAGAGAAAGTGATGTGAAGATAGAAACAGGGAGAAAAAGTGATTGGATAAGGGACCATGAGTCATGAAATGCACACAGCCTCTAGAAGCTGGATAAAGCAAGAACATGGCTTCGGCTCTAGAGCATCCTGAAGAAACAAAGACCAGCCAACACCTTGGTTTTAACATACTAGGACTGATTTTGGACTTCTGACTTCCAGAACAGCAAGATAATAAATTTGTGTTGTTTCAAGCCACTAAGTTATTGGTCATTTGCTACAGAGGCAATAAGCAGCTAATATAACAGCTTATTGTGAGGTGTATTAACAGTCTCTACAGTAGCAGTTGCCATGTCTATGTGCAGCCATCTGCAAGGTATGGTAGCACTGAGCTACCATAGGATGGTTATCTGCCCAGCATCCATTCCCACTCCCTGACAGAACCACAGTGCTTGGCATGCCTCCTCCCCTGAAGCCCAGGGTTCACAGGAAGCTGACCCTACCCACAGTACCAAGGGACTATTCTGTTTAATCATGGAAGCTAATCATGTCCCTCCCTCCTGGGTTTTTCATACACCCAGCTTTAAGCTGATCAGTGTCTTGTTATGGCTCTAGGAATGGGCAGGTAACCTAAGTTAAAGGAAAGGGCTTTGTATTTCTGGTTGTCTCTGAACATGAACAAGGAGCACAGTGCCCCATCTTGCAATCACTGGGGAAGCTGAAGACACACTTGCCAGAGGGAAAAGGGCAGAGTAGAAAATAGAAAACCACAGAGAATCATAGGGAGAACATGAGTGAACCATATTTTCAGCCAGCCTCATTATAACTTTTTTTTGTAATATTAAAATTGTCATGTTTACATTTAATTCAGTTTAGGCTATGGTGTCTTTTTTCTGTTAGAACAATTGAACTGCCCTAATTGATTGAGGAGCTCAGACACTTATGACACTAAAAATGCTAGATAATAAAAGTAGATGACTCACAAGTATGAAGACTCAACTAGGGAAAGTGTTAGAACTTTGAAGCAGTGGTTAACTTGCTAGTCTTGCTATTTCTCATAATCCAGGTGAGAAACTTATTTTCAATAAAGGTGATAATTTTTTCAAAAAATTGAAACCAGGTTGGAAAAAGTTACATCCTTTGAATGAACTGTTTTGAATTGACTGAAAAACCACACAGATGCAATGTAAAATACATCAGAGTGTGATTTTCTTATATGTAATTTCATACAAATTTTGTCTACCTAACTGGTAAATAAAGGTCTTCTGTCATGGCTCAGAGCAAACGTGCCCCTGACTGCTGGTGAAATCTGGGCCCATTTTATTTCCTCTTCTTTGAATTTTATCACCTTTGTCCACTTTTCAATGGGGCCGTTTGTCTTGTTAATTTGTAGGCACTTTTTATATAGTAGAGCAGTGGTTCTCAACCTTCCTAATGCCATGACCCTTTAATATAGTTCCTCATGTTGCCCTGGCCGGTTTGGTTCAGCGGTTAGAGCGTCGGCCTGCGGTCCTGAGAGACCCGGGTTCGGTTCCCACTAAGGGCATGTACTTCGGTTGCAGTTTGTCCCCGGCCCTGGTCGGTTGTGCGGGTGGCAGCCACTTGATGTGTCCCTTCACGTCGATGTTTCTCTCTCTCTCTCTGTTCCTCTCTCTCCCTCCCACTCTACCTGAACAACAACAACAAAAAATCAATAAAGAAAAAAAAATAATAAAAATTAAAAAAAAATATATATATAGTTCCTCATGTTGTATGTGGGCGTATCTGCATGTGGGTGGACCTGCCTGGAGATAAGATAGAGGAGCCATGTCTCGGTTCCTAAGACCATCGGAAATATGCAGCTCCTGTGAAAGGGTCGTTCGACCCCCAAAGGGGTTGTGACCCACAGGTTGAGAATCACTGTAGTAGAGATATGAGCTCTATTAATATCCATGATGTTACAAATGCTTTCACAGTTTAAGTACGGCTTTATGCTATGATTTGACACATAATTCTTGTTTTATTTTTTCAAACAAAGTAGACTCTCATTTCCTCTATGTCTTGTGAGCCTTATCTCTACTTAAGGTTGTCTACTGTAATAACTCCATTCTGACCTTCAGTTACTGAACGTACACACCTTGGCAGTTTCTTTTTTGTAAACATAAGGGCCTTGAGAAACCCAAAGAAAACTATAAAGATAAGGGGTTAATGATGACCTTGGGAAACTGAAGAACCATGAGAAGAAAGAGATTAATGGTTGCCCTGACCTAACAGCTCCTCTTGCCCCTTTTTATCAGTCCCCCCCCTTAACGGTGCCAAAAGCAGCACCAAGAATGTAGTTGCTTTTTTCTCTGTAGTTTGTGTCTATATAAGCAGGCAATAAAGAAGGCTTGGGGCTGTCAATTTTGGGAGAGCCCCACTTCAGCCCCCTTCAGCTGGTATAATAAAGTGCTCCTTTACAATTCGGCTGTGAGTCTCTGGTTATCTTGCTGACACATTACAACACTACCACTTGCCAAATTTATACATTCTCCTAGATATTCTCCCAAGTTCTTTATCATTTTGTGTTTATATTTAGACCTTTAATCAATCTGACATTTGCTTACAAATTTAATAAAAAGCAAGGACGGTTCTGAGAAAGAAAGCCAGCCAGCCAGGTTCCTTCAGCTTCAGAACTGTAGGTTACATTAGATATTCAATGCTAATGTCAGTCTCATTCCCTTTAAGGAACATCTAGTTTCTGTCTGGAAGCTATATTGTTTTTTTCTTAATCCATGAAAGTCAAATGCTTGTTAAATTTGTGTCTGTTTAGCTAATTCTTCCTGGGACTCAAAGGCCTTTGCAGTCTAGAGCATGACTTCTTTTCAGCTCAGGTAAACTATTTTTATTAGTTCAACTATCCTCATTGTTTTCTCCTCTGCCCCATAATATTTGCATGATAAGTGTGGATCTGTCCTCAGGTCCTATTTATTAATTTCTAATTTCCATCTCTGAATTTTTCCTCAATGTTGTGGGATATTTCTTCAGAAAACTGATTTTTTTTCTCAGCAGTTATCATTACCATCTTTGTTTATGCAATATGTTTTTATTATGAGAGATTTACATTTTTTTAAATTTTCTTTCAGTAAGTCTTTTTTTATTCTTATTATAATTGTATCTCCCTCAATCTTCTTTGAAAATAAGTTTCTCCAGTTCCCTGGTCAGTTCTGGACAATGGGGCCACATGATCTAGACCTCAGTATGTGCTCCTTCATCAAGTTGCCAATTACCTCTCAGGTGTATGCACTTTCCAAACTCAGGGCTGAGTCACACTGCTGGGAACTCTTGGACAAACATGCACTAAGTGGACCACACTTCCTGTCCCTGTTCTTAGGAACAACAACAACAACAAAACCATAACTCTTCTGTGAAGTGGCTGTTCTCTGACTTCCACAAGTGGTCCTGCTCTACCCAGCACTAAGTGCCTAAACAAATCAGCCTGCGGGTCAAGCCTCATTTGCATGTGACTAAGGCCAGCAAGAACCAGAAGGCCCCATACAAGAAGTCTTCACCTAACTCCTCAGAAAGAAACAGCCTTCTTTTCCAGGGACCCCAACATGACTCAAAAACCACCCCAAAAGCCTGAGCGGTGGATCCACCCTTTCTGAGTTCCCAGAGAGCACTTGGTAGTCTCACAGTTCTTCTCCATAGCCCACCTGCACTATTCCCGAAGGCATTCCAGGTGATGGGTTTGGCAAAAGCAAGACAGGCCCTGGTCTAAGGCTCAGGGGTCACTGGTATCAGAGTGAAGGGGGACATGAGAGGGAGCCAGGAGTATGTACACAACAGCCATCTTCACAGAATTTCTCTGTCACCCCCCAAGATTGCCTCATCATGGCAATGCCAACAGAATACAAGTGCTTCTAATTCACAGCTTCTTCTGAAACTTTTAGAGAGAGTTTCAGTGTGTTATAACCAACAACCTGTAAGAACCAATAACCTTAACAATCAAGTACTTCGTGTGTCAGAGTGTGATATTAAATATATTCGAAGATATAAAAAGATGATGAATGACATACTTGCATGATTTTAGGCAATACATCAGCTCCTCCATTTTTAGTGTTTTGTATTGTAGTTAGGTACTTTTTTTCCAAAAAGAAAGTTACAATCCACTTAATAAAAACAACACGAGCTGCTATGTATGGAATTTTTGTACTGTAAATGTTTTCATTGTCTCGAGTTGTAGTAATGTACATTGGCTTTGGTCTTAAATGGGGAATATCTGTAAAAAAAAGAACACCTGATTAGGTCAGTGAATCTTGACATTATGTAACCCCTACAAATATTTCTGTTTCCAAGAAGACAGACATATATTTGGTTGTCTGAATAGCAACTAAGATTAAAGAACCAGAAATGATTAAAAATGTCAACTTTTGGAAGGCACATTTCTAATTCTGCCTTGCACTCTGACCAAGATGGGATGATGGTGGTTGTTACTATTTCTTTACAGCTGTGGTATACAGCTACACAAACCTATAGCAAAGCTAAAGCTATAGCAAAAACAAAGCTAATAACTCTTTTTCACAAATTTGAGAAATTACATTTTCACATTCATTATAACTAATCTAATCTTATTTTATGATTTGAACAATCTAAAACCATGTTATAGACATTTTTTTTCATCATTTTAAGTATTTTAACATCCAACACTATACTAATAAAATCAACTGAACTTTAGTTTTATAAACTTCTCCCTTTAGATGAATCCAAAGAAACAGAATCAGTATAATCCACTTTACATCTGAAAGAATTCGGAAAGTCATGTTTCATTTTTGAGATATCAGATACCACCATTTCCAAAGAATCAATAAAAGGTCCGGTTTTCATTCTTTCAATTCCATAGTCAATATGAAAAAAATATTATATTGAATTTGAGATAACTACTTGCTGTAAGTCCAACTCTCTTACTAATTTTTGTACATGTTGAGATAACTACACGAAGCAAAAAAAATTTTTAGCAAATAACTTTATATCTTGGAATGTTAATGATATACTATGTATTCTACAATGAATAGTGGCTAATAAAATCAGAAACAAATTTGAAAAGAATACCCACACACACAGATAACAAAATACATATGCTAGTACCCTTAAAGTCAGTATTTCTACATCTTTCAAAACGTACCAAGCTTCAGTTGTTCTATCCTTGCCCAAGTGTGTGTGTGACGCCCACAGACAACTGAATCAGCTGTCCACATTCCCCAGATGGATTCATGTCTGTTGTGATCTTTTCCTCTTCAAAAGTGTTCTTAATTATTCATTTTAACTAATTTCATCTGCTTTAGAATAATTGGCAGAGGAAGATTTGCCTCACCTCCACCACTCTAAGGGATGCTCTGGTCTGTGGAGCCCTCATTTCTTAAAGAAGGAAAACTTTAGGAGCTAAATAAGTAATTCCCTTATGATGTTGCCTTCTCTGGGCTTACTGTCCTTAGGCTGCCCAACTGCCCAAACATCTGCCCCTCCATAAGTAGCTGTAAGTAGTCCCTGCTGGTTGAAAGATCCAGTAAAAAAAAGAAGCAGCATGCTGTGGGCAGCTGTGTCACCAGGGCTTGCCTGCCTATTTACTAAGTAAGGTCTGGGGTCACCACACTCCACCAAGCAGTAAGAGAAGACTTAAGAAAATGCAAGCTTTTTTTTTTTTTTAACATTAAAAGATTTTAAATAGCCCAGCCAGTGGCTCAGTAGATTGAGTGTCATCCTATGGACAGAGAGGTCCCATTTCGATTCCCGGTCAGGGCACACCACCAGGTTTCGGACTCCATACCCAGTAAGGGGCATGCAGGAGGCAGCCAATAGATGTTTCTCTCTCACATCAATGTTCTCTCTCTATATAAAAAATTAATAAAGAGCCAGAGTTTCACTTTATTGTTGGATTTGCGGTACACCTTAGTTTGTGCAAATATTTGAAACAGTTAAAATCATTTATTAAGAAACTTTAAACTTCTTACAATAAAGTTAGTATTAAGAGTAATAATAAAATTACTATTTTACTTAAAAATAATCAAAAGTCACTTTGAAAGAGACTGTACAGCTTTCCGTGGAAATCCTCTTTATATGGCTCAATCAGTACTTACCGAGTACAGGTTTGTAGATGTTTGTTAACTTAGTAAAAGATGGAAAAAGATGAGGAAGATAATACTTTCGAAACAATGTAAAAAGAAATTTAAAACCAGTATCTTGATTCTCCTTATTCTTCCACTCCAAACTTGCAGCCTTTGGATATGTGGAAGAAAACATACATATATTTACATTTCAAATTAATGTATACTAAATTGAAGTGCTATTATTAAAATTCCTATCATAATTTAAAAACTTGACAAATAATATTGATAATCATGTAATAAAATCATATCATAAAACTCAAAAGACGACAAAATGAATGCTTCAAAACAAAACAGTCACTATTTTAAAAAACAGCTTTTTTATTGACTATTTAAAAAATTACCTAACTATGCCCTGGTTTGACTCAGTAGTTAGAGCATCAGCCCGCAGACCTAAGGGTCGCGGGTTCGATTTCAACCAAGGGCAAGTACTTTGGTTGCGTTCATCCCTGGCCCTGTTCTGGGTCGTGCGGGAGGCAGCCAATTGACATGTCTCTCTCACAAAAATGTTTCTCTCTCTCCTCTCTCCCTCCCTCTTCCCCGCCTCCCCCGCCCCACACTATCTGAAGATATTTGAAAAAATATCCTTGGATGATGATTTAAAAAAAAAAATTACGCCCTGGCCAGTTTGGCTCAGCGGTTAGAGCGTCGGCCTGCGGTCCGGAGAGACCCGGGTTCGGTTCCCGCTAAGGGCACGTACTTCGGTTGCAGTTTGTCCCCGGCCCTGGTTGGTTGTGCGGGTGGCAGCCACTCGATGTGTTCCTTCACGTCGATGTTTCTCTCTCTCTCTCCCTTCCTCTCTCTCCCTCCCACTCTATCTGTACAAAAAAAAAAAAAAAAATTACTACATTATGTCCATATTTTTTCCACATGTTCTTTGTAATGATTTAACATTCCTTGTGTCCTAAAACATCTAGTTAGATACAAGGTGATTTTTTTTTACTCAAAAAGGCCATTTATAATAAACAAGAATTAATGAAACCAACCCTTGCAAAGATTTCATCCAATGTTACCTACACACAAAATCTATATCCAAAGGTACAGACAGCTACAGAAATCTTGGAAAATGCATTCTCCTTATTAAAAGCATGCCACAGGTCCTGGTCAGTTTTGCTCAGCCGTTAGAGCATTGACTTGCAGTCAAGGGCACATACCTGGGCTGCAGGTTCAATCCCCAGCCCTGGTCAGGGTGTGCAGAAGGCACTATTGATGTATCTCTCTCACATCAATGTTCTCTCCCCATCCCTCCCTTCCACTCTATCTAAAAAAAAATTAATGAAAAAATATCCTCAGGTGAGGATTAACAAACAAATAAAATAAAATAAAATGAAAAATAAAAGCAATCCACAGGACAGGGTAAGCCAGGCCTGCCAGTCTAGCTACACCTATCAGTGGGTCTTAATACTTGTTAGAACACAGAGTATCTTAAAGCAGTTTCCCAAATTCCTTCATGCTGCAGCCCACTTGAAAAATGATAACAGTTCAGAACCTGAGGTAAAGGAATGAGGGGTTTTGGCTGCCCCATGGCAGAGGAACTCAGTGTCTGTAAACTGCCAGAAGTTCTCCGGAATGGGCCAAGGCAGAAATTCTGCTCTAAGAACTCACTCCAGAGAAGAAAGAGAAAGAGAGGGAGATGGACATGTATATACCAATTACGCACACAATTTAGGGGTTCACAGTCTACATAAAAACTCCCACCTCCTTCCATAGCCAACTGATGTGGCTCAGTGGTTGAGCATCAACCCATGTACCAGGAGGTCACCGATTCAATTTCAAGTCGGTGCACATGCCTGGGTTGAGGGCTTGATCCCCAATAGGGGTAATGCAGGAGCAGCTAGTCAAAGTTTCTTTATCATTTATATTTCTATCTCTCTCCCCCTCTCCCTTCCTCTAAAATCAATAAAAACATATTTATGCTGTGCCTATTTTGGCTCAGTGGTTAGATTATCAGCCCTTGGACCAAAGGATCCCAGGTTTGATTCCCAGTCAAGGGCATGTATCTGAGTTGCAGGTTCAATCCCCGGCCCTGGTCAGGGTCATGCAGGAGGCAACCAATCAATGGGTTTCTCTTACATCAATGTTTCTCTCTCTCTCCTTCCCGCTCTCCTTTACACTCTATCTAAAAAAACCAATGGAAAAATAATATCCTCGGGTAAGAATTAACAACAACAATAAAAAAATAAAATAAAATAAAAATAAAAACCTACCCCCATATGAATGGCATCCTTCCACTAATGGGATCTTAGGGATTCCCTAACTTATCTGAGGTCACACAGCTCATTAAAGACACATCTAGAATGAAAACCCCTCCCAACACATCAAAATTTGAGATACTCTATGCTGTCTGGGACATATGGGATGCCCTGCCACTTCGAAACAGATAGAGTTCAAGATGCAAGTAGAATGAGCCAGCAGAGCTAAAATGTGGGAGCTTCCAGAAGATGAAAGGAAACCTGAGTTGGGCTCTCAGGATTTTGGAGCCCTGTGTTTCCAGTGCTGAATAACGGGAGAGGAGAGAGAAAAAATCAGACTAGTGAGAAAGAGCAGCCAAAGACTGAATCTTAAAGAATGGCAGAGAGAAACACAGTCCCCCAAAGAAAACTAAAAAGAAGTCAAAGGAAGGAGGAAAGCCAGAAGGAAACATCATGGAAGGAATCTCATAAAGGAGGGGCAGACACTGTCAAATCATCTGAAGGACTGAGTACCACACAAACTTAAGAATGTCTTTCCTCTGGACTTGACCATGAGAACCCCTTCATGTCCTTGAATCTCTTAGTAGTGATAGGGCAGAGGCAGGTAACAGAGGATGTCAAGGAACATTAGGTGAGGAAGTGAACTTGGCAAAGATTATTATGTCAACAAACTTGGTTGTGAAAGGAAAGACAGGGACTAGACTATACCCAGGAGGAACTTAGGGACGAGAGAAGTGTTTGCTAAGAGAAAAGCACTCAGTAGCATTTTGTGAACCATATCAATGCTCGGGAATACAAACCAAGAGACATAAGTCACCCATTGAAATCATAAACTAATTATTTCAGTTCTGTATCCAATTGGTAAAAGTAACAGGAAGAAATACGTGACATAAAGCAGACCTATCTGATGGCACAATGAGATAATTACAAATGTTTTTGTTCAAATCTCCCTGCCTGCTCTGCCTATTCCTGATCCACCCTTTCAGCCTCTGGGCCTGCCTCCTCCACCATCTCACTAGCGCAGAGATCAGGGTTAGGGAAGGAGTAAAGAGGCACAAATAGTTTACAGTCAGCCCTCATTTATCGCGGTTAATCAGTTCCAGACTCTACCATGATAAATGTATTTCCGCGAAGTAGGATTCTTTATTTACATACAGTTGTCCCTCGCCACTTCAGGCTTCCATGTTTGTGGCTTCACTCTATTGCCGGGAGCAAGCTTCCAGGTGGGTGAACATATCAATGTGCCAGACAGTGACACACTCCAACTCCACGGGAACAAAAACTCCTACACTCAGGACCTTCCCAAACCTTGCCCTGTGTATCTCTTCATCTGTATTCTTTATCATATCCTTAATAAACTGGTAAACATAAATAAATGTTGCCTTGAGTTCTGTGAGCTGCCCTAGCAAATTAATCAAATCTGAAGAGGGGGGGTCATAGGAATGTCTGATGCGTAGCCAAATTGGACAAAAGTTGTGGATAAACTGGGGTCCTACTACTTGTGATTGGCATCTGAATGGGATGGGAACAGTCTTATAGGACTGAGACATTAACATGTGGACTCTGATGCTATCTCCAAGCAGACAGTGTCAGAATTCAGTAAAACTGTAGGAGACCCAGCTGTTGTCACAGAGCATTGCTTGTTGAGGGGGAGAGGAACATACATATGTTGACCAGAAGTGTCATATGTCACATGTTCTGTGTGAATATGGTAATAATATAAAAGTAGGGGAGGCATACAGACGGAGAACTGAATTTCTCCCTTTACATGCATACTCACACAAAACAGTGTGCATACCTGGAATCCGCTGAAGTGATCTGGCACATACTCTATGTTTAGTGAAATAGCACATATAAATACCTCAAACAAAAAGCAAAATTGCAAAATGTGGCCAAATAGAAGAAAAGAGACGATGTTTTCTCTTTCCTACTGGGAATAAGACCATCACTGAATTATCTACAAGTTGCTCTTACCTGAATAACCATATATTTCAATAGTATTTGAAGAAAAAAGCATGTTTGGTCCTCAGCAATCTTTTCCCCTGAAATGGCTGGCAGGAGTGGAGTGATTTCTTCTGGGTAGATCTTTGCTGCAGAGTGGAAAATAATGAGATCTCTTTTACCACAGTTAAATTTTAAACAGGTTTTTTTTTAAATGGCCTCTATTAAAATACACCTCTCCATCCATTAGAACTTCCCACATAGACCAAGCCAGTGTGCATGAAGGGCTGAGAAACAAGAGAGAGAAGCCCACGAAGCTACCTCTACCACTATACCATTCTTTTCCTTTTCAAATTCTGTGTTGGTCAGCCTAAGATAAAATACCTGTCACTTGGCCCTGGCCAATTTGACTCAGTAGTTAGGGCATCAGCTCTCGGATTGAAGAGTTGCGGGTTTGATTCCTGGTCAAGGGCACATACCTCAATTGCAAGTTTAATCTGTGGCCCTGATCAGGGTTGTTCTGGAGGCAACCAATTAACGTGTCTCTCATATCGGTGTTTCTTTCTCTCTCTCTCTCTCTCTCTCTCTCTCCCCCTTCCTCCCTCCCATTCTATCTAAAAATCAATAGAAAAAATTTCCTTGGGGGAGGATTAAAACAAAGCTAAACAAAACATTTGGCAATAGAAGTGATATGCAGTTATAAATCAATGGCCCTCACAGGACACAAATGGCTGTCATTAATAGTCCCATGTCCTTCCATGAATGTTGCATGGAAATACACAGCTGGCAAAAAAGAACCTGGGAAAGCAGATAAAGGTCCACTTATGAAACAACAGGAATGAGGACAAGAGACAGCAGTTTTAGACAGTGGATTTGAATTGCACTAACAGCCACATAAACACTCCAGACAGGAAGTGTCTACTTTCCACTATTGCCAACATCTATCCACTTCCTTTCCATTCCTGTTTTCACCACTTCAATAAATTTCTCCTGTCATCATTATTAAATTATAAAATAGGTTCAAGCCTTTTAATTACAATGTTTGTAAGAATCTACTATGAATATGAACAGGGAATAATTCCTCCTCAGAATTCATCTATGAAATCAAGATTTCTATTCAAGAAAATGGTGAACCAAGGAATTCCTCAATGTAACTTCAACAGTCATTTCTTGAGTAAGATCTGCTCACATCACTCACCATCAGCTACACTGGGGCTTGGATTGATGAGAGTCTCCAGAGTACAGGGTCCTCTGGAGGACATGATTGCTGGGAAACCAGGCACAAGGCAAGCGAAAATCAGCACCTGCTCTTCTGCACAGTTTGTCTGAAGTGCTTGAAGCCACAGAAGAAACAGCCTGATTCCTTCACATCTTATCTAAAAATAAATTTAAAAGCAACACAATTAAACATATGTATTTGTAGAAAGGTACTACAATGTAGCATCAGTTCTGCGAAAGAAAAACTAGAATTGAAAGATATTGTTGAAGTACTGCACCAAGTTCTTTACTTAGTAACAAGTAAGTAAGGATACTGCAATACTGCACAAGGGTTAAGAGGTTGGGTTCTAAAGCCAGAGTGCCTGGGTTCAAATGAAGGCTCTGCCATTTAGTAGTGTAGCTGTGATCTGTGGAGAACCACTTAACCATCTATGCCTTAGTTTCTCCAAATGTAAAATAGGGGTGATAACTGAATTTACCACAAAGTACTGGTCTGGATTAAGTAAGTTAGAACAATGCCTCGCTCACAGAAGGCGCTATGTATTTCCTATTAACCACATTTCATTCCATAGGCATAATGCCCATATCATCAACACTCAATTATCCATGAAAATAATGCAAAAATAACCTTCCTCCAAATTACACTATGTTTTGTACAGCATTTATGTCATGTCACTACAATATATAGAAGTACAATGCTCTGGAAAATCAGAACACTTAAAGCTAAATAAGACTTTGAAAAACTGCCTCAACATGATGGCGTAGCTCTCTAGCTTCCTTGCCTAATGCTCCACTCTATTCTCTCTAACACCTCTGCCGTGCTCTGAATGGTGGACATCACTGGTAGAAAACATCTACAGAGGCAGATGTGTCCTTCCTCCTTCTCTACATTTACTTTCAACTTCATTCCATTCTAAGAATTCATAAACACACTTACTTACATTTCTATAGTTCTAAAAGGCTAAAAAGATGACATCAATAAAAGAACTTAAATAAGCAAAAGAGATTAAAAAAATGTCAGACACAGCTGAAAGATTCGTGAACTCCAAATGTAGGCAACTGAGGGACTGCCTGATTTCCTTTCAATTACACCAAGGTGCAAATCCCTCCAGAGTGAGTATTCAAACCAAATAGGAAGCTTTACAGGAAGGCCAAGAGGAAGAAACACGCCCCCTGCCCGCCCCAAAAAAGGAAGGAAAAAAATAAAGAAAAAGATTGACTAACTTCCTCAGAGAAGTCAAATACACTAAGACTGGTGATAGTGCTCCTGCCATTAACAATGGATTCCACAGCATACTTTCAGACATGCTAGTGGACTTTCCACTCCTCTGTACAAACCATGGTCACTCAGATCTGTCCTCTCTCCAGGCAGGTAAAATAAGTGATGACATTGTTGAATGTATAATGCTATTCAGAGTCAGACAAAAACAAAAAAAAAAGATGTGGCTCTATGTACAACTAACCAAATTATATTAAATTTAACGAGAGGAATTCCTTCAAAATTCTATCACAAGTCTTCAATTTTTTTATTTACCTGTATTTAAGGTAACTAAACATAAATAAGGCCAATAAGAAACATGAAATAGAGATTCAAAAAAATGGCGGCGGAGTGAATGGAAGCTACACAGACTGTCTCCCAGAACCAAACTGGAATTACAACTATAACACAGACAAATTGATGGGAAAAAGCAACAGAAAAGCAGCTTGCGAGGACCATATAACGAGGGACCATGACTCCATCCTGGTAGGCATGAGAAGGCGCGAGACGGGGGCTGGGAGCCCATAGCTCGGCAGCAGCCTTAGATGGGAGAGGCGCCCACGGGTTATACTCCCAAGCGGCTCCACAGCACAAAGCCGGGACAGAGGCTAAAATAGCCACAGCCACTCACCTTGGGCTCCGGCAGAGGGAGGGCAGACTGGACTGGAACTGTGTCAGGACACTCAGGATTTGGAAGGCGATCAGAGCTTTGGCTGAGTGCAGCCATGCAGGACAGTGGTCATCTTACTCCTTCCCAGGGCTCTGGGGAGAGGCATCAGCCCCTCCCTCAGAGATCCAACCCCACCCTGTGGGCCACTGAAGTGCTAATTGAAGCTCATTAAGAACCAGCATCTGCCCCACCCTCCTGAAAGCCCCTTGGCTAAGCACCAGAAGGAGTTTTTCAATCAACTGACAACCCAAAACTCATCAAGTAACCTCAACTGCTAGCCTCCAGGCAAAAAGCTAGAGGATAACAGTGCCTTTCCTGGGCTGGCAACTTTAACCAGGAAAGTAAGACTTGACAGGGTGTTTAACGTGGGTCCTCCCTCGCTCATCTAAACCCAGGAGAGGGAGCCACAAACAGCAGAACACCAACACCCACAGGGAAAACTTGACAGGCTCCAAAGGCCACTGTGATAGCCAAAATGGTGAAACACAGAAACAGAAGCCAAATGAAAGAGCAAGAGACCTCCACCGAAGATGAGATCAATGTGGAGCAATTAGGCATGTTGACAGAGCTAGAATTCAGAGCCATGATCTGGAGGAAGCTGAACAGCATGAGTAAGGACATAGAGACACTGAAAATAAGCCAAATGGAAATTAAAAACCATCAAGAAGAGATAAAAAATGACATATCAGAAATGAAAACCACACTGGAAGGTTTAAAAAGCAGAGTAGAGGAAGCTGAGGACCGGATCAGTGAATTAGAAGACAGGGTAGAAAAAATCAACCAATCAGAAAAACAAAAGGAAAAAACTATTAAAAAACAGGAAGACAGCTTAAGAGAACTGTGGGACAACTGGAAACGTAATAATATTCGCATCATAGGAGTCCCTGAAGAAGAAGACAATGAGCAAGGGTTAGAGAATATATTCAAAAAAATAGTGACAGAAAACTTCTGTAATTTGGTGAAGGAAGAAGGCATTCAAGTTCAAGAAGCACGGAGAGGCCCAAGTAAGAAGAACCCAAACAGGCCCACACCAAGACACATAGTAATTAAAATGCCACAAATTAAAGACAAAGAGAGAATCCTAAAAGCAGCAAGAGATAAGCAACAGGTTACCTACAAAGGAAACCCCATAAGGCTCTCAGCTGACTTCTCACAAGAAACACTACAGGCCAGAAGGGAATGGCATGAAGTAATCAAAGTCATGAAAAACAAGAATCTGGATCCAAGACTACTCTACCCAGCAAGGCTATCATTCAAAATAGAAGGTCAAATAAAGAGCTTCCCAGACTTCCGGTCCAGATGGTGGGTAGGTAAACGCGGTGTTGCGTCCTCCCACAACCACAACAAAGTTACAACTAAACTACAGAACAACCACAATTCAAAACCGCCTGAAATCAAGCTGAATGGAAGTCCTACAATATGGAATTTTAAAAAGCAGCCACATCCAGACTGGTAGGAGGGGCGGCGGCGCGACGGGCTGGTCCCACACCCACGTGTGGTGGATAAAAATCAGGAAGCTCTCGAGGCTGGGAAGGTCCTTCCTGAGGACTGAGGGGTCCCCGTCCCACACCAGGTGCCCCGCTCAGGGTTCCAGCGCCAGGAAGAGAAGTCCCCATAACTTCTGGCTGGAAAAACCTGCGGAAACTGAGGCTCAGGGAAGCTGAAGCGGCGGGAGCCCCAGGCAGCTCCCTAAAGGGCCCGCGCACGGACTTATCGGACTCTCTCCCTCTAAGCTTGGAGGGGAGGCAGCTCGAGGGGCGCCAGAGACATACAGGGAAAAACTCAGCTGTTTAGCACTGGAGCGAGGGCTGGAGAAGAGGCTTTCTCGGGGACAAACATGCTGTAAGAGGCCTTTGTTCCTTTGGTGAGCCCTTCCCGGGGGCGGCAGACAGAAGCCATATCTGGGACTCCAGCAACCTGGCTCACACTGGTAGCCCTGCCCTGCTGACTCGCTGAGGCCCCGCCCCACCCAACATTCAAGCCCACCCAAGCTGTTACCACTTGCTTAACCATAAGACTGGCCGGTCTTGGATCCTGCTTCAGGTTTTTCCTAAATTCTTTCAAATGAGCAGCATCGGGTCTCAGCGAGCCCAATACATCTCATTAAGTAATACACTGAAACAAACACAGGGAGGCAGCCAAAATGAGGATACAAAGAAACAGGTCCCAAATGAAAGAACAGAATAAAACCCCAATAAAAGAACTAAGCGAAAGGGAAATAAGCAACCTAACAGATACTGAGTTCAAAATACTGCTTATAAGGATGCGCAATGAGCTTAATGAGAACCTCAGTAAACTTAGGGAGGGCCTCAAGAGCATAAAAAAGGACCAGTTAGGAATCATGGATACACAGTTAGAATTGAAGGAGGCATTAACTGAAATAAAGAATAATTTACACAGGTTCGATAATAGGGTAGGTAAATCCAAGGAGCAAACCATCGATTTGGAATATAAGGAAGCAAAAAATCCCCAATCAGAACAGCAAAAAGAAAAAAGAATCCAAAAAAATGAGGATAGTGTAAGGAGCCTCTGGGACAACTTCAAGCATGGCAACATTCGCATCTTGGGGGTGCCGGAAGGAGAAGAGCAAGAACAAGAAATCGAAAACATGTTTGAAACAATAATGGCAGAAAACTTCCCTAACTTGGTGAAGGAAACAGACATACAAGTCCAGGAAGCACAGAGAGTCCCAAACAAGATGAACCCCAAGAGGCCCACACCAAGACACATCATCATCAAAATGCAAAATGTTCAAGACAAAGAGAGAATCACAAAAGCAGCAAGAGAAAGGCAGCTAGTTACCTACAAGGGAGTTCCCATTAGGCTGTCAGCTGATTTCTCAAAAGAAACTTTGCAGGCCAGAAGGGAGTGGCAAGAAATATTCAGAGTGATGAAAACCAAGAACCTACAACCAAAATTACTCTATCCTACAAAGCTGTCATTTAGAATCAATGGACATATAAAAACTTTCCCAGACAAGAAAAAGTTAAAGGAGTTCATCACTACCAAACCATTATTATATGAAATGATGAAGGGTCTTTTTGAAGAAAAAGATAAAATGTATGAACAAACAAAATGGCAATGAATACATATCTATCAACAATGCAATCTACAAACAAAATGAACAGGTAGAACAGAAACATTCTCATAGATACAGAGAACATTTTGTTGGTTGCCAGTTGGGAGGGGGGTTGGGGGAATGGGTGAAAAAGGTGAAGGGATTAAGAAGC